ACTTCATACATTTCTGTGTTCATTCTCGTTCTGACCGAGAATTCACTTCTTCAATTACGTATGTTCGCCCTGCTGCGGCTCGTTTACTTGTGAAATAAATTATAAGAAAAATTAGAAAATACTACTTGTATGTAAACTGCAATCAACCCCGTGCATGCTTTCGTGAACGGGGAACTATAGTGCACTCGCGGAAAACAGTTTGAAAATGCAGTTCAGGCATTCCCCTGAACATAACACACCCCCATGTGACCCTACCGGACCCGAAACCTTAGCTTGTAAAGATTCGAAACCTTCAGGTTGTTTGCGTGACGGGCGTTTTCAAACTCGAAACCCGACTGCGCCGTAGTTTATCTGGCAGACTGGCACCGCCATTTTTGTTTTGTTTAACGAAATTAGTTGTTGTTGAAAATAAATGATTTTTGCTGTGTTCTTTGCGACTTCCTTTGTGTTTTGGGAGGGTGCTGCCTACAGTAGACACCACCCTCCCTAAACACAGAGAAAGTCATGAAGAATACAGCAGAAATCTTCCACTTTCAAGCACAAACAATTACGGTAAACGGTAAATAAAGTAGTCAGTTTTAAACCACCAGTACTTCCTAGAGTCGTGCCCAGTTAACGTGCCACGATTTTAGGAAACGTACGGGCCACTACAGGAGCGCCCAAGTTCATCCAACTAGAAACGTTTCTAGTAACTTTCTACTCTATTTCTTTCTGAGACTGGTGGTTTAACGAACTGGCTGTTCTAGTCTTCTAGGGACTTTTTCAGGTCCGGGCGCCCGCTTTGCATTGTCGACCAAGATGATTGTGATCCAACCGCGCACAAAAGCTTCCAGTCTTTGTTTTTTCTGTTCTGTTTTCGTGGCTAGTGGAGGCTGATGCCAGGACACCGATGGGCTGACAAGCAGCCTTGGTGATCCAATCGAACACATCAGCCGCTGTAATTTGTTTGTTTATTTGTTTTTTCTTTCTCCCGTGGGCTGTCCAGGCCACTGCTGAGCCACCCATGGGCCCATCCTCAGCCCCCACATATGCCGGTGTGGCAGCTGGTAACCACTTGGGGGGGGGGGGGGGGGGTATTCAAGCATCTTCTAATCTGGGCGGGCAATGGGATGGTTTGGGAGCAAAATCAGAAGCAGTGTATAAGGAATGCGGCTGAGCTGCTAAGGCTGCCGGATCCACTAAAAAGTTGCGATTTTCAGTTGGGTGAACGAAGTCCCTGCTGCTGCAAACTGGGGTCTATCAGTGGTAAGGAGGGCAAAATTATTCCTCGTTCTGTCCAGGTTCAGACTCACCTGGCAATGAAGACGCAAGCGTGGAAGGCGAGGAGGATGTATGGAGGAATTTAAATGTCAGCCAAATGGCACTCGTACATACCTCCGCAGTGGCAGCACTGGTGAGTTTTGTTCCTCTCCCTCTTGTTCTTGTTTTCCTGGGTGAGAAGTACATAGCCAACCTGTCTCCGGTTAAAATGCAGTCAGACTGCAAATGCAACAACTAGCTTGGTCAGCGCCCACCTGGATGCACGTGCAGATTAGGTGCATTTCCAGCTGCACACTAGGTGCATTCCCAACTGCACATTAGGTGTAGCCTTTTACTGGAGCGGTTTTGTACATCAACGGGCTATTTCCCTACAGCACCCTTTCTCCCCCCCCCCCTCTCTTCCCCTTTCTATCAAATGCTTGTTGTTCCTGGCAAGGGAGTTGGGGAACAAATGGCTGGCTGAGGTGACACTAGGGCCAAACCGGAGAAACAAGGTTTTGAGATGCCTGTGGCCTCCCTGGGAAAACAAGGATGACCCGCCGACGTACGCCATTAAACGCACGCACGGATGGATCCGTCTTTATGTTGGTGTCAGGCTTTCAGGCGGGAAGAAAGGCCAAGCAAAAAAAGGTGTGTTTGCAATGATGCACTTCTTCCCTCGGGGAGGAGGTTTTTGCCGTCCTGCCCTCAGGGCATACTCAATCACACTACCGTATTTCCCCTGAACACATTGCACCCTCATTGTGGCTGCACGGGGCCGGAAAGATACCTTGTATCTAGCCATTATCAGGGTGCGTTATGCTCGGGGGAAGAAGGTAGCATCTTTGGTACCAAGCGGAATCTGCTCACAGTTAGCGAATCTATGATGGTTCACCCTCCCGGAGACCGCTCCTGTGAGGTTGCCCTACCCAGTAGCACTACCGTCTTTCCCTGGAAATCACAACGCACCCTCGTGTTGACTGTACCGAGCCGGAAACAGACCTTGTATTCGTTCATTATGTTTGGGGGAAGATGGTAGGTGAGGGCCAGGCCCACTGGTGCTATGTCCGGGCCCAGAAAGCATGGCGTAGGAGTCGGCTCTTTCCTGTTTTTTACCAGTTCAAGATTTGAAGCATGTGAAGCTGGGTTTTAAAGTCCCAGCAAGATTCCAAGTCCCATTGGATTGGTACCAGCAAGATTCCAAGTCCCAAGATTCCAAGTCCCAGCAAGATTCCAAGTCCCAGCAAGGTTCCAAGATTCCAAGGCCTTCATGTATGCGCGGCGATGAAAAAGCTGCGTAAAGTAGTGATGGTACCAGCAAGATTCCAAGTCCCATTGGATTGGGCTGTCAACTCGATTGTGCTGCTTCGGGTGCAGAAAGTGAGGGCCTCGCTCCACTGCTCTCGACATGTGTAAAACGAGAGTGAATCTTCCGCTAGAACATGGGATGATACCTCACCATGATTTTTGTCTTTTGGGCATGTCGAAGTAGTGG